AAGAGACTGGACAAAAATCGTGCACCTATGGATGAGGACAGTGGGTGGGGAGTGAGGGCAGAGGGTGGGTTGGAAACTGGGAGGAGGGGAGTTATGGGGGGAAAAAAAGAGGAACAAATGTAATAATCTGAACAATAAAGATTTAATTAAAAAAAAAGTTTGGAAGGATGACAACAATTGCATAATAACAATAAAAACAACCTTTCCCCTACATTTTGTCTTGCTACTGTAATAAGGGATTTCCATCTACATTGTGTTTTTACATCTTTCACATCTTTTCTCAAAGTCTTCAATTCCATCACTTGTAGTCATATCTTTATATATTTTCTTTAAAAAATCTAGGATAACCCTCCCCTGGTTAAAACTGGTTTAGGGCATATTACCACTTGTAAAGCCATGCTATAGAAGCACTTTGCAGCAAGCTAGCCTAAATTTGTCAATGAATTGCCCTTCCTGGAATAGATTTTACAACAAGGGCTACAAACAAAAGACAAAGAAGGACTCAGATATTTCACTCTGGGTGCTTATGTGAAGAAAATAAAACACTAATTCGAAAAAAGATGTGCACCCCTATGTTCACTGCAGCATTACTTACAATAGGTATGATGTGCAAGCAACCTAGGTCCACTGATAGATAAATGGATAAAGAGGAAGTGAGAGCTCTAGCCAGTGTTGGTCAGTGATTAGAGCACTGGACCGAGCACCAAAAGGTCATGGGTTCGCTTCCCGGGTCAAGGGCACCTACCTGGGTTGCAGCTTCAATCCCAAGCCCCCGTTGGGGCACACACAGGAGGCAACTAATTGATGTGTCTCTTCCACATCAATGCTTCTCTTTCTTCCTTCACCCCCTCTTTAAAAATCAATGGAAATGATACACACACACACACACACACACACAGGATCAGTATTCAACCTTGAAAAAAGAATGAAATCTTGCCATTTGTGACAACATGGCTGGATCTAGAGGGTATTGTGATAGGTGAAATAAGTCAGAGAAAGACAAATATTGTATCATTTCACTTATATATGGAATCTAAAAAGGATAAACAAATGAAGAAACAAAATAGGCTCATAGGTACAGAGAACAAACTAATAGTTGCTGCGGGTGGTGGGGAATGAGCAAAAAGGTAAAGGGGATTAAGAGGTACAAACGTATAAGTCACAGGGATGTAAAACACAGCATAGGGAATACAGTCAATAATATCACAATAACTTTGTATAGTGACAGGTGATTATGAGACTTATTGAGGTAATCACTTTGTAGGTATATAAATGTCAAATCATTATGTTGTATACCTAAAACCAAAATAATACTGTATATCAACTATACTTTAATTAAAAAGAACTTTATATTCCAGAATTAAATGTTTTTTAAAAAGGACAAGGAAACAACTATCTTTAATCACTATAAGAAAATGCAGCCAAAACCGGTTTGGCTCAGTGGATAGAGCGTTGGCTTGTGGACTGAGGGGTCCCAGGTTCGATTCCGGTCGGGGGCATGTGCCTGGGTTGCGGGCACATCCCCGGTGGGAGGTGTGCAGGAGGCAGCTGATCGGTGTTTCTCTCTCATCGATGTTTCTGACTCTCTCTCTCTCTCCCTTCCTCTCTGTGAAAAATCAATAAAATATATTTAAAAAGAAAATGCAATGTATGTGGGAGGGGCAGGGGAAGGTATACATGTGAACAGGTTGTATGAGCCCAAAGACTATTAGAACAAGAATATCTTAGCCTCTAGTTAAGATCAGATTCAGTACTCTATACTCTGGGAAAAGTCATTTAAATTATCTACACATAATTTTCTACTGCTTGCAACTACATTCTTATTTGAAGCTTATATAAATATTGTGAGTTTTGGTTAAAAGTTTGTAATATATTCTAAGTATTTTTCCAAGTTTATTAACTCAGCAGCACTAATGAAGCCTTTCATAATTTTATATACTTCATTACACATTTTACTTATGAAATTAAAATGATAGGTTTAAGAGATATACTACTTCAATATATATTAATTTCTCTCTTGTTTGGATTTAATTCTCAATAACAAGATATAATACTAAAAAACAAACACACTGAGTCTTATTTGGCACATACTATTTAACATGAAGCACCTGAGATTTATTTCTTTTTAAAATTGAGAATCTGGAGACCTCGTAAAACAACTAGCCAAACCCTGAGGTGACCCAGGTTTGCTGTGGGTGCCGTCATTTCTCCATGTCTTTTGCTGAGTCACCGCTAGTGTCTTCATGTTACAGGC